TAGGCACACCTTAGACTTCAAAGTGACATCATTGCTTCTTAACACTTTAAAGAGGTCTTTTGCAGAGGATTTGACCAGTGAAAAATGATGTCTGATTTTTTTGACTGCTGCTTCCATGGGTAAAGATTGTGGATGCAAGTAAAATGAAATCCCTGAAAATGTCAATCTTTTCGCCATTTATCATTATGTTGTTTATTGGTCCAGTTGTGAGGATTTTCATTTGCTTTATGTTGAAGTGTAATCCATATTGCAGTACACTCTTTTGCAGAAAGTCTTTGACTTTCATCAGTCTTAAGTCACCTTCACTTTCAGCAAGCAAGGTGTGTCATGTGCATATTGCAAGTTGTTAATAGATCTTCCTCCTATCCTGATGCCATGTTCTCTGCATATAGTTCAGCTTCTGAGATTATTTGCTCAACATACATCATTGAATATGATAAATGGAATGTTAAAATTCAAACAGTATATTCAAAGTGTAAATAAATTAGAAACACTTCTTAAACCAAATATTGACTATACGTAACTGTTTTGTCTGTTTGTACTATGAAATATCAGAGCAAATTTTAGAGATGATCTACCCATAGTTTTTACCAAAATCTTCCGTATATTCTTAATAAATCTGATCATTCAACTTTGTTGACCATCATTTTATGTTTTCTATTTCTTCCCTTATTCTAGTTTTCTATTTCTTCCCTGTCTCCTTGACTGGCTATAAAACTAAAATAAAGTATATCTTTCTGTTGCAGTTATTGGATATGGTTTTATTATCCCTTTTGTGTTTAAAAGAGCACTCATACATATATGAAACAAAAATCCACAAATTGAGACCTATTTTTCTTTTGAGACCTTCCACTTGAATGTTTTCTTGGTCAATGGCCTTACAATCTTAATATTTAAAGTCAATGGTCTTCATGTTGGTCAAGGGCCTTTAATGTCACAACAATTCTTGTCAAGCAATGGAGAAAGCATATCTAAAACAAAAGTCCCAATGTAAGTTTCAGCCTGAGATTAAAAAAAAAAAAATTTGCCTAGCAGTTTTAGGTAACTTCTAAAAGCAAACTCACTATATGGACATTCACACTTAAACAACAAAATACAAAATAAGATATGTGTCACTTAACATCTGCATATATGTCCATGGTTTCACAAAGGTTTTCTTTTTTTAAAAGATGCAGTTCTCCTTTTGTTTATTATTTCCATTTAATGGTTTTAAAGACACCAAACCCAGACTCTTGCGGGACTGGACCATAGGAGGGATACAGGCAGGTGATGCAGAGAGCATGGCTCTGGGCATATGCTCTTAAGTCTTATCTGGATGGCAGGTGGACAGCAGTGGTGGGGGCTGTGGGGCCCAGGCTGCTCCTGCTGCTCAGGCAGGCAGAAGAGCAGGCAGGGTTGGGTGCACCCCACTCCCCCCTCACTTGCTTCCTCTCACTCCGCTCCTGCCACCATCTTCTCAGCCACCTCCACTGCCAGCATCTGTTCCTCCAGCCTCCACCAGCAGCTTCAGCAGCAGCAGTGGCAGCAGTGGTGACAAGTAAACTGGAAATGGACTCCCATAAGGTTTTAATATGGTGTTGGCACAATGTTCAAATAAAAAAAGTCCCATTTCACTGAACATACTGTGGATGTTATGAGATGCATACTTGTATGTTTTTTTTAGTGATAATAATTTATCCACCCCTATCATTGTCCTCTGAGAAAATAAACTGGCCTTCATTATAAACAACTTCCAGGAAAAAAAAATGGCTAGTCCACATGACTGCAAATATGACTGAAAAACACACAAATAAAAGAATATAGAGGATTTATCTAAAGTTTATGCTTTTTAAAAAATAATATGAAACTTGAGAACAATTAATGATACACTAAAAGTCCTTTAAATCTATATTCTCAAAAGGAAAGATAGTTGGTTATAAATAAAGTAATTATTTCCTGAAAATTATTAATTCTATTTAAACTTGATATTTTAAAATATTTACAGATTTACTAGATTTTAAAGTTTTACGTTGACCTTTGGGTCAACCTTAGTGTGATCCAGTGAATTACTTAATCTGGGCCTTCTAGCCAGTCTCTGTGACTTCCACAAAATGATTGGATTGGACTACACAAATAAAGTGCTTGTGGCCCACCAAGGGGATTGTATGGCTTGCTGCTAATGCAAGTAAGAAGCATGGAACCCTTATAGGGGGTGGAAGCATGCAGATAAAGTGTATGGAACCTTAACGAGAGGGTTGGTCAGTTTCCATCTTGCTAGGCGTGATGGGAGACAGAGAGACAGGAGCTGTAACATGGAAGACAGCAAAAGACAGAGGTGGAACAGTAGCAAGAACGATAGCTAGAATCCAGGAGATCAATGTGAGACAGCTGTGGTAGGTTTAAGGGGCCACAGAGCTAAGAGTTTTAAAACTTGCCTGAGAAGGCCCCTAGTAGGGGCCAGGAACAGAGGGCAAGAAGAACCTGTCCTGATTGAAGAGCTGCATCCTGAGTTGTCCCTGTTACTTCCCTAATAAACCACTTATCTGTCAGTATCTTTAATGAGTTCTGTGAGACACTGCAGAAAATTACCAAACCCAGGAAGGAGAGTACTGAGGCAACAGGGAAGAGTTGAAGTTAGAGATGATAAAGTGGTATAGCAGTTTGGAAAAGATGGATATTTGGGACATCTTTAACCTCCAACCCATAGGAACCAGCTTTCTGCTGTTCATTATAAAAGAAATTATTCATTTAGTTCTTATGGAGTGATACATTTAAGTTTAATTTACAAAAATTACTTCGCAATCAACTTGCCTGGCTATACATATTCTGAAGTAAGGACTAGGCTTTAAATGTGTAATATCAGTTTATAAGAAAAGGAATCAAAATTTCAGATTTGGGAAAGTAAAATAATGTAATCACAAAATATTTATTTTTTGGTCAAATTTTTGACAGGTATTCGAGAAAAAATAAATTTTTCAGTTCAGAATCAAAGACACTGTGAAAGAGTAACAGTGCTGTTTCTGAGTAAAAGTTGTATTTTTAATGTTCCATCACAAAGAAATCATTGTGACTGCTGACAAAATAATTTATTTAAAATGTCATGTACATGAATAGACACTTCACCAAGGAGAATATTCAAGCGGCCAACAAACATGAAGAAATGCTCATGATCATTAGCTATTAGAGAGATGCAAATCAAAACAACAATGAGGTACCATCTTGCTCCAGCACTAGTAGCAAAGTTCAACAAGACAGAAAATAACAAATGCTGGCAAGGATGCAGAGAGATTGGGACTCTCATACACTGCTGGTGGAACTGTAAAATGGTACAACCATTGTGGAAAGCAGTATGGCGATTCCTTCAAAAGCTGGAATTAGAAATACCATTTGACCCAGCCATTCCATTAGGGTATATACCCTAAAGAAGTGAAAGCCATGACAAGAACAGATATATGCACACCCATGTTCATTGCAGCACTATTTACAATAGCCAAAAGATGGAGACAACCTAGATGTCCATCAACTGAGGAATGGATAACCAAACTATGGTACATACACACAGTGGAATACTATGCAACCCTAAAGAATAATGTAGAATCTGCAAAACACCACATAATGTGGACGAACTTGGAGGACATTATGCTGAGTGAAAAAAGTTAATCACAAAAGAACAAATATTGTATTAGTTTGTTATTGTAAAAGTTAAGGAAAGGTTTATCTATAGAAGGAAATTTTCTTTGTTGGTTACCAGGGGTGGGAGGGGAGGGGAGGGAATGCTGTTAGATAGATAGAGATAAGTATTGATTTGGGTGAAGAGAAGGGCAATGTACCAAATGTGAGTGACCAATATGGCAGCATTGAAGATGAGAAAGACATAGAGAGGTACATGGGAGGTACAGACAACAAATATGAACCCTTTTGCACTGCATTGTCAGTGAAGGCAAACATGGGTATATGGATGGATAGATGGGTGGACAGGCTAAACGATTAAGTATGTCTATGAAATGCAGAGCATATCCAAGAACATATATAGGGTTGGCAGACAATGGTCCTATAAGTTTATGTGAATGATCAGAATTCCCAGGTGTATAGTAGAGCTGACAAGGGGCAAGGTTGTGGTCACTGCTTGGTCACAGCCAGCTATCCAGAGGGACCGAGTAGTTGAATCTGCGGGCTTGGGACCATAGTCACTGGAGACATCAAGCTCAATTGGCATAACATACTATACAAAACATTGTTCCACCTCCTACTTTGGTGAGTAGCGACTGGGATCTTAAAAGCTAGCAAGCTGCCATCTAGATGTAACGATGGGTCTCTCCTCGTCCAGAGCAAAGAAGAATGAAGAAAACCAAAATTCATGGAAACAATTAGTCCTAGAGACTGGTATACCATCCAATCTGCAGCCTATACAACTATGAGATCAGAGGAACTAGATGGTGCCCGTCTACCACTGTCATCCACTTGGAAGGGGATCTATGTAGGAGATCCTTGATAGAGAGGGAGAACAATGTGGAACAAAACTCAAAATCATTTGAAGAAAAAAAAAGGGGGGTGGGGACTAGGTTTGCTGGTCCGATAGAGCCTGGTGGAACCACTGAGACTATGGCCCCTAGCTGCTCTTCAGGTCTGGAATTGAACCCATACCAGTAGTTTCCAGACAAACAAAATACAGGCATATGAGTTAAACATTTACCTCAAGTAGATACACTCCTTGGAGAGAACAATCATGGGAGAAAGAAGGGCTGCTTATGCACAGGGAGACAGCTCAGGGGGCAGGAGTATATGGCGGGATAGACACTGGGAAGAGGTAACTATGGGGAGGAAGTGGAAGGGGAGCTGTTGCATTGTGGTAAACTGTGGTCAATGACAAGACAAAGTATATGTGAACTGCTGTATGGAAAGTGAATTTGCTCTGTAAATCTTCACCCAAATCACATTTTTAAAATAATAAATAAATAAATAAATATGTCATGTACAAACAATCATTAAAAAAAAAAACACTGATACAAATGAAATCTTACTTTTTTCCGTAGTACTCCCTGCTGCTCTGTGGTCCCGTTCTTTAGAGGGTACATTTGTTTTACTAGACTCACTTGTAGCTTGTTTCACTGATGAGGATGAACATTCCAAAGCACTGTAAGAATCATATAAATCCCAAGCAGTAGACATTATGCCTAAAAGAGAAAGAAAGTAGAAATTATTTTAAACCAAATTATTTTAAAACCAAATTTTAGGTTATATAACCACTCTTAGTGGACGTCTTCATACTGGAGAATACATAAATCAGTAAGCAATTGCTTCTGAGAGATCCACAGGGTTTTCAAGGGATGATTTGTTTTCAGAATTACATCACTGTTGGGGACCAAGAAAAAGACCCCAAAAGAACATGATTGCAGGCACATGTTCTAATTACAGTGGAGAGATGACAAGGCCTCTCTTGTGATTGAGTGTTTGCTTTTAGAGATGGCAAGGTCTCTCTGTGGTTGAATGTTGCTTTTAGAGATGGCAAGGTCTCTCTGTGGTTGAATGTTGCTTTAAGAGATGGCAAGGTCTCTCTCACTGTTAAATACTTAATTGGCAAAACACCAAAGTATTAAAAGTAGATGTTATTCTCCATGTTTTTATCTTATGCTTTGGGTCACTGTGTCCTAGTAAACATTTATCGTTTTACACTCCTTATTCCTGAGAAGACTTCTGTGATTGTTTTAATGACCACCTGTTGTCCTTGAGCACGTAGAGGAGTAAAACTTTAGCTCTGTAGAGAATAAGCTGATTGTATAGATTCCAAAACTAATGACGTAATCATGTGCAAACATATAAATAAAGTAGAACAAAGGCATCACGGGTCACTCCCGCAGAATATGCAGGGCGTCCACCTGGCCCCCATTCCTTAATAAATAAAAAAGAAAACTATTAATTGTTTCATGTTGCTTCATTTCGTGACCTGTGTGGTTTTGCAGGATGCAGCACATCACCAGGTCTTTCTCCCAAGATGTTTCTGTGTAGACTGGAACCTCCATATTTTGGTTAGCTGCCAAGCATGTTAACAGTTTACACCACCCAGGGACTCTAGAAAAAACATACTATTGTTTTACAGTGATCCAAAAAATAAAAAATAAAAAACCAAACTCACTGCTGTTGAGTCAGATCTGACTCATAGCAACACCTCCTTGGGTTTCTGAGGCAGTATCACTACAGAAGTACATTGCCCAATCTTCCTACCAAGGAGTGGCTGGTGGTTTGAACTTCCACCCTTCTGGTTAGCAGTCAAATGCCTTAGGCACTATGCCACCAGAGCTCCCCTTTTACAATGATGGCAGGTAGGAAATAATGGGGCTAAATAAATAAGTCAGGAAGACATCTTAAGAGATCCTGAGTTATCACATTATTAGGATCTACAAATATATTTGTACCTATTGGGTACCTCAAAACTATTCTTAACCTTCCTGACCCTCAATTTCCTCGAGCATAGCATAATCTCAGCACTCTGTCATTATAGGGTTGCCCTGGTGATATGGACCTGGAGAACCATGTTATAACAGGTTTTTTGTTCCTTTTTGGAGTCCCTGGGTGTCAAAAATGCTTAAGTGCTCAGCATAGAACTGAAAAGTTGGCAGTATAATAAAGCACTGGTGATCTGAAAGATCACAGCCACTGAAAACCCTAAGGGACACAGTTCTACTCTGAAATATATGGAGTCTCCATGAGTCAGAATCAACTAAATGGCAACTGGTGTGGATTTTTACTTACAGTTAACAAGTAACATGTTATATTCTACAGATCATTTTTATTTAAAAGTATCTGATTCCATTTTTATCAAGTATTATATGAAAAGATTTTTTTTTGGAAAATTACATTCAAGAAATTTGAGGAATAGTATGGTTATCATCTTCTCTTTAAAAAGCAAGCTATATCCATATGTGGTTTGAGAGTTTTGTTCCTTAGGTTAGTAAAATATATTCAAGTGAGTAAAAGTAACTGGTCTCTGAAATAAAATTGACAATGTTATTTATCTTCAAATAAGAAACAATGCCCCCAATCCCTTTCACTGATAATTTATAATGCTGATATAGAACTCATTTTATCAAGGAGCACGTAGTAATATATTCTACATGCCATACTTACTAAGCTTTCAGTTAAAGAAGTGATTTTATTAATAAAAGTTCTTTTCTCTGAAAATCAAAACAGAATCTGGTTCTAAAAAATTCAACTACCTTATTGCTAGGGCTAGTATTTTCTTAATGTAAAATGATGGTTTTAAAGAGATCTGGTATCTAAAGACTCCCCAATGAGTAAGACTGTTCACATTTCATAGTAATATTTCTATTTTAATGAACTTATCTTAATAGCAACTAACAAAGTCATGCACTGAATAACAGGAAATTTTGTTGAGTTGAAAATGGTACAATTTCCATGATCATGAAGTAAGAGACCTCAGAAAGAAATTATGTCTTTGAATATGGAATTGCCTAATTTTCTCTTCAAGGAGCTCTGGTGGTGTAGTGCCTAAGGCATTTGACTGCTAACTAGAAGGCTGGCGGTTCAAACCCACCAGCCACTCCTCAGAAGGAAGGTTGGGCAATCTACTTCCATAGTGATACTGCCTTAAAAACCCAAAGAGTCAGATCCTCTCGATGGCAGTGAGTTTGGGTTCTTTCTTTCTTTCTTTTTTTTTTTTTTTTTTCTGGTTTAAACTTCAGTTAAGGAGCTCTGGTGACTCAGTTTTTAAGACATTCAGATGCTAACCAAAAGATCAGTGGTTCAAACCTACCAGTTGCTTGATGGGAGTAAGATGAGGCAGTCTGCTTCTGTAAAGATATATAGCCTTGGAAATTCTATGAGGCAGTTCTACTCTCTCCTGTAGGATCATTGTGAGCTGCAATCAACTCATAAACAGTGGCTTTGTTTTTGTTTGTTTTTTGAAACTTCAATAGCATGCAAAAACTCTTATCTTTAGACTTGATCTGGGCCATTTTAGGGGGTATTTCTGTGATTAAGTTTTCCCAATCTTCAATTATTATGTGTAGATAGTTCTATCAATTGTTGAGACATTTTGGTAATTTTGATTCCCCTTAAGATTTTTTTCCTTACTTTCAAATCTACTAGCATAAAATTTCAGAATAATCCATTTAAAATGTTTAAAACCATTACTACCTATTAGCTCTTGCAGCGTAGTGCCTAAGGCACTTGACTGCTAACCAGAAGGCTGGTGGTTCAAACCCACCAGCTACTCCTCGGAAGGAAGGTTGGGGCAATCTACTTCCGTAGTGATACCTCCTCGGAAACCCAAGGAGGGGTCGCTATGAGTCGGGTCCGACTTGACGGCACATAACAACAACAACAAGCTACTGGCACAAATAGTTTGCTCTTGACTACTAACCAAAAGGTTGGTAGTTCAAATACAACCAGCAGCACTTTGGAAGATAGGCCTGGTTATATTTCTGTAAGATTACAGCCAGAGGTGAAGGTTTGGGATCTTCTCAAGTCTCTTCTAAGCATACATCCTGCCCTGGACATTACAGTAATTGAAAACCCTATGGAGTACAATTCTACTCTGAAACACACGAGGTGCCATGAGTCAGAACTGACTGGACAGCAACAGTTTGACTTTTTTTTTTTCTTTTTCCCTAATAGGAGCTCTGGTGGTGCAGTGGGTAAGGCATTTGGTTCTGACTCATAGCAATCCCTCATTGGGTTTCTGAGGCAGTATCACTACAAAAGTAGATCGCCCAGTCTTCCTTCCAAGGAGTGGCTGGTGGGTTTGAACCACCAGCCTTCTGGTTAGCTGTCAAATGCCTTAGGCACTATGCCACCAGAGCTCCCAAAAGGAGATATTAGGAGTAGGAAATAAATGTTCTCACCAACAAGAAGTATGTATTTTTTTTAATTTAAAAAATTATCAAACTTTTTTGCTAGAGAGTTGTCTATTTTAATCTTTTTAATGAACTAACTTGTGCCTTTTTGTATTTCTTAAATTGGATAATTCATTCATTTCTTCTTGTTCTGCCTGGTTTTTTTTGGTTTGTTTGTTTTTTGCTAAGTAATAAAGGCAATTCATATTTCTGGCTATGGAGTGTCCTCAGGATTGTTAATTTATAAACATTGAAAGACAGTAAGTGTAGAAGTAAAGAATGCAGACTGTAGACGCAAACTGTGAAGGAATATCTGCCATAGTAGCTAAAGGACCCCAGATAAGTTACCTAACTTCACTTTGTCTGTTGCCTCATCCATAAGACAAGGAATAACTATAGTACCTACCTGATAGGGTTGTTGTGAGTTCAAGCCAGTAAATATATGTGAAAAGCTTAGAATAGTATCTGGAACATTTTAAATGTTGTTAGTTGTAGCTGATATTCTTTGTGACTTAGTAAATAATCAGTTTCTATATATATTATGAACATGTCAAGAGTACAAAGTTCTGTAATATAGTATATAAAAATCAAGCTTGTTAATTATGCTATTCAAATATTCTCTATCTTTATTTTTCACTTGTTAACTTATTTGCCAAAATCTGAGAGCTATGTATCACAGTTCCCAGTGACTCTTGTGATTTAGGCAAATTTTCCTTGTATTTCTATTATTTGCTTGATATATTTCAATATTTATTTGTTGAGTGACTGATTCAAAGAACATATATTAAAAAAAAAAAAGTTAATCAAGCAGGCGGTAAGAACCTGGGTGGCACAAGCATTTTGCAATCAGCTGCTAACCTAAAGGTTAGTAGTTCCACCCACCCAGCGTTTTTGCAGAAGAAATTTTTCTGTAAAGATTACATTTCTAATCTGTAATATATGGGTCGCCCTGAGTCAGAATCAACTTGATCACAGTGTTTTTGTTTGCTTGTTTGTTTTTATTAAACAGACTGAAACATTGATTACCTTTGTCCTTCATTATGACTTTGTCACATTGAACTTCTTTTGTCTTTGGTGCTCCATTAATAGTCTGCATCATCCTTTCAACATATAAGTCATTGCCTGCTCTATTTCTACAAAGAGCTTCATACTTTTTGTTCCTCTGGCTGTTAAAAATAAAGTATACTCAACTCATTATGGAAAAGAATTATTGCCACATATATCATCTCTTTATATTCCCCTTTCACTTATAATGAGATTTCATTAAAAAGTTAAGTGAGATTTTAAAATATCATTAGAAAAAGACTTTGCACTGAACTACATTCAAAGGACTCTTTTCTAGTGTTATCTCTCAAAACTACCACTACTTTCATTCCCCAATAATAATAAGCTAACACAGCCCTTCATATCCATGGGTTCCACATCTGTGGATTCAACCAAGCACAGACGGAAAATTTTCAAAAACAAAAACAAAAACAAAAGCATTTAATGGTCAAAGCAATCCTTCAAAAGCTAAGAGGGAACATAAAGTGCTTTTCACACAGCATTTACATTTACCAGGTATTGTAAGTAGAGATGATTGAAACTATACAAGAGGATGTATATAGGTCACATGCAAATACCACATCATTTTATACAAGGGATTTGAGCATCTGTGGGTTTGGTATTCATGCGGCTCCTGGAACCATCCCCTGAGTATACTGAAGGACGCTTATATTCACATTTGCTTTATGAACCTTGAAACACACATTTAAAGTTAGATATTTCCTTCAAATTACCACTTTTTGTGGCATCCTACAGATATGTATTATTTCTTAATATTATGGTTCTGAGTATTTTTTTTCATTTCCATTATGATTTTTTTCCTGATCCATGAGAAATTTATAAATGTGCTTTTTAAATTTCCATATGTGTACATGAATGTTTTTCTATGGTTTACTTGAGATTTAGGTTACTAATTGAAACTGCATTGCATGTGGTCAATTTTTTGAGAAGTTGCCGGATGGTTACAAAATGGACATAGGGGTGGCATCCTCTGACCTCTCACCCACAAGTGGGAGAAATAATCAGCAGCAGCAGCCCAAAGCAGAAATGGCACCAAGGTCCAACCTTTTTACCAACTCTGACACCAACCGTCCCTCCCACAGCACTCTCTGCTTCTCTGCTAGGTTCAATCATTCATTTCAATGGCCACAGAACTTATAGGCACTACTCACGATTATGGGGTTAATTCGGGAAGCAAAAGGTTACAATTCAGGTTCAGGAAGGTGCTCAGGACACAATTCTTCAATCCAGACATCCTCCCCTCACCCATGTCCAAAGGCATGTCTCTCTTGGTCTCTCAGCCGGGCCTCCACCAAGCTTGGGCAAGTGTTACAAAGTTCTTTCAGCTGTGCCAATAGGTACACCTACATGTACCCTACTCCAACAACAAGACTCCTGCCCAAAAGTGCTCAGCTTTCTTGCTCCATGGGCTGGCTAGCCTGCTGCTGTCCTGTGCTGGTCTCAACTCTGCTGCTGCTGCTGTCTCTCTACCAACTCTCTGAGTCTTTCTGCCTGCTGTCATCTGAGCTCAGGGATCTTGGGTCCAAGCACTCACTCTACTCTGCCTCCAGCTCTTCTCTCTTGATGGTAGTGAGATCCCCCTTTCTGCCTCTGGGATGGCTCATTTTAAGCACAGAGGGATACCAAAGTTGATCAATCCCCATGTTAGGGTTTATACACCTTATTTCCATGGACCCACCACAACAAGGTGCCAAGTACTTTACTTACACTATTAGCAAGCTACCCAATGCCCTTGATGGGCCACAAGCACCCTATATTTGTATAGTTCCACCCAGTATTCCGGTAAACCAAAACCAAACCAAACTCACTAGTGACTCCTCCTTGGGTTTCTGAGGCGTTATCACTGCAGAAGCAGATTGCCCAATCTTCCTTCCAAGGAGTGGTTGGTGAGTTTGAACTGCCAGCTAGTAGAGCCATATCAAGTAATTCACTATGCCACAATGGTCTAGTGTATCGAGTTTTGTAAATGCTCCATTTTTGCTTGAAAAGAACATGTTCCCTAGTGCAAAGTTCTACATATAATTATGAAATCAAGTTTTTTCCCAGTTTTCCTATATCTATACTAATTATTTCATCTAACTGACCTATCAGTAGTTGACAGAAGTATGTTTAAATTGCCTACTCTGTCATTAGTCTTTATAAAATTTCTAATTTTTGCTTCATGTATTTTGAGGTTATTTTATTAGAATTCAAGTTCATAACTGTTCTATCTTCCTATCATGAAGTGATCCTCTTTATCCTTAATGACACTATCAGTTTAATTGCTTCTCTATATGTAACATGTCTTTTTACTTTTCTTCTCCCCCCTTTTCCATTTTTAAAACCTTCTTTGTATATTTGGTGTTCTGAAGTGTCAGCAGAATGCACCAAGTACATTTCTTCTTTGTGAATTTCTTTTATTTCTATTTTTGCGGAATTATGTCTTAATAGTTTAGGAAAGTGCTTACCCACTCTCTTCGAATAGTCTCTCTCCTCCAATCTTTCTACTCTACCCTTCTGAAACTCTAATTAGGTGTGTTTTAGACCTTCATTTCATTATTGATATTTTTTTAAACTTCTCTTTCATATTTTATATCCTCTTATCTCTCCCAGTTTCATTCTGGCATAATTTATCCAGATCTATTTTCCAGTTCATTACATTTCTATTCAATTATGTCTAATATGTTTAAAACCAATGTTCACTTTTTAACTTCAACTAAAATATACGTGTGTGTGTGTGTGTGTGTGTATAGTTGACTCTTGAACAATGTGGGGGTTTGAGGCATTGACTCCCCAGGCAGTTGAAAAATCACATATATTGACTCCCCCAAAACTTTACTAATAGCCTACTGTTGATCAGAAACCTTACCAATAATATAAACAATCCTGATCAAAAATTCAGCTGCATTTGCACAAAACAATAGAGTTAGCCTATCCTTTCCTGCTGTAAACTCTGGTCCTTGCTTCTCTCTTTTACTAATAAATGTCCTTTGTGGCTTTTTCTCTTCCAGAATAGGGCATTTTTGTCTGCATTAAAAACCTCTTCAGGCAGATATACTTTCTGCTCAATGATTTTCTTAATGGCATCTGAGAACTCATCTGCTACCTCTTGGTCAGCATAAGCTGCTTCTCCTATGATCTTGACATTTTTAAAGCTAAATCTCTTCTAAAATTATCAAACCATCCTTTGCTGACATTAAATTCTCCAGCTTTAGATCCTTAACCTTCCTTTTGCTTTAAGTAGTCATATAATGACTTTGCTTTCTCACTAATCCTATTAGCCTACAGGTATGCCCTTCTTCTTCTCCTTCTTCTTCTTCTTATTGTGACTTGGGTGAAAAGTTTACAGAGCAAATTCATTTTCCATACAGCAGTTCATATACATTTTGTCTCATGATATTGACTGAAAATTCCCAGTGTAACAGCTCTTGTCCCACTTCCTCCCGATAGTTACCTCTTCCCTGGGTCCTTCCCTCCCAAGCACTCCTGCCCCCCCCCCCAGCTGTCTCCCTGGGTATACACTGCCTTTTGTTCTCCCATGTTTGATGTTCACCCATATGCCTGTCTTTTATCTGGCTGGAAGCCACAGGAGTGAGTTCAATTCCAGACCTGAAGTGTAGCTAGGGACCATAGTCTCAGGGGTCTCACTAGGCTCTATCAGACCAGCAAACCTGGTCTTTTTTTTTTTTTTTTTATGATCTTGACTTTTGTTCCACATTGTTTTTCCTCTCTATCCAGAATATCCTACACAGATCCCCCTCTGAGTGGTTGACAGTGGTAGCCAGGCACCATCTAGTTCTGGTCTCATGATCATATAAGCTGAGGATCGCATGGTCTACCAGTCCCTTGGACTAATTGTTTCCATGCATCTTTGGTTTTCTTCATTCTTCCTTGCTCTGGATGAGAAGAGACCCATCATTGCATCTAGATGGCCGCTTGCATGCTTTTAAGATCCCAGTCCCTACTCACCAAAGTAGATTGCGGAACAATGTTTTTGTGTAGCTTGCTGTCCCCTGTGACCATGGTTCCGAGTTCACAGGTCCAACTACTTGCTCCTTCTGGGTAGCTAGGTGGTTGTGGCCAAGAAGTCACCACAACCTTGTCCCTTGTCAACTCTACTACATACCTGGACATTCTTACAGAACATACAAATACGCTTGTAGAAAAATCATCTGCCAACCCTATACATGGTCATAGGCACACTCCCTGCTGCCTAGACATTTCTAATCATTCAGCCTGTCTGCCATCTCTCTGCCCGTAGATCAAAGTTTGCTCTCACTGACAATGCAGTGAGGAAGTATGTAGGAAGTATGTAGGTATGCCTTCTTGTAGCAATCCTGCACTGGCATAAAAACGGCACTTTAAATACAAAAAGATATTTCTCAAAAAGTGCTAAGTTTTTGCGCCTGATGGTATAGCTGCAGTGATGGCTTCACAAAGTTTCTTTTCTTTTCTTTTCTTTTTTACAGTAGTCTTTACCCTGGGCTCATTTTCTTGAAATGGTGAGCAAACACAACTGCAGACCTCAATGCATGGTGCATATCAAGCACTTTAACTTTTCCTTATAATGTCATGACTTGTCACTGCTTCTTGGGAACACTTCCAACATCACTAGTTGCACTGAGTATGGGTCCAATGGTGTTATTCAAGGTTTACAGTTTTGCACTAAACACAATGAAACATATGTTAGAAGTATGAGAGATCACTGTGATATGCAATTTACTTGGAGTGATGAACTGCTTATGTGAAGATCATTAGCATCACATGGGGATCATTAGCATCATACCATGTTTAAGGAGATATTTGCAACACTTGAGCTCACTGCAATAACAACAGGAGGTGACTACAGTATGTTGTTGTTACGTGCCGTTGAGTCGGACCTGACTCATAGTGACCCCTCCTTGGGTTTCTGAGGCAGTATCACTACGTAAGTAGATTGCCCCATCTTCCTTCCGAGGAGTGGCTGGTGAGTTTGAACCAATAGCCTTCTGGTTAGCAGTCAAGTGCCTTAGGCACTATGCTACCGGAGCTCCTACATACTAGTAAATTTTATGCAGTAATGATTTAATACTGCATGTTTTTGTTTGTTTACATTTGTCTTGACTGCAAATGACACCATATA